CATTAGAGAGATGCAAATCAAAATGACAATGAGATACCATCTCACCCCAGCACTAATGGCAATGTTCAACAAGACAGAAAATAACAAATGCTGGTGAGGATGTGGAGAGATTGGGACTGTCACACATTGCTGGTGGGTCTGTCAAATGACGCAGTCACTGTGGAAAGCAGTATGGTGATTCCTTAAAAAGCTAGAATTAAAAATACCATTTGACCCAGCAATCCTAGGTATATATCCTAAAGAAGTGAGAACCAGGACAAGAATAGATATATGCACACCCATGTTCATGGCAGCACTATTTACAATAGCCAAAAGATGGAAACAACCTAGGTGCCCATAGACAGAAGAATGGATTACCAAACTATGCTGCATGCACACAATGGAATACTATGCAACACTGAAAATAATGTAGAGTCTGCAAAACACCACATAACATGGATGAACTTGTAGGACATTATGCAGAGTCATATAAGTCAATCACAAGACAAACACAGTTAGTAGCTCATCCATCTCACTGGTCATCTGTCTCTCATCATTTAAATATAAGTTCCATGAGTTCAGTGATCTTTCCTGCTGTGTTCATCATTGTAACTTCAGTACCTAAAGTAGGACCTCAGGTGAAGGAGACACACACTAAATATCTGTTGAATGAATGAATAAAAGAAACATGCTTATTGTTTTCCATCCAAAACTGTTTAACATACTTATTATATTTCTGTTACTTCAGGCTCCTTGGTATTGCTATCTTTGGCAAGATTTCTCAACCTCAGCACTGTTGACATAGGGAGCAAGAAAATTCTTTGCTCTGATAGGCTGCCTTATGTATTGTAAGATGTTTAGCAGTATCCCTGACCTCTCTCCATTCAAGATAGTAATACACTCTAAGTTGTGACAACCAAAAATGCCCCAGACATTGTCAGATGTCCCCTGGGAAGCAAAGTCACCTGTGGCTGAGATCCACTGGCCTATGCAGTGGTTCTGGGCTTGGTGCAAAAGAAGCTCTCAATGTCTCCAAGTCAGAACAGATTAGAAAGTTCTGGTGATGAGCTCTCATACTGTCTGCTTATACTTGTTGGATCCATTCCAGCTGTATCCACTTTGTCTAACATATTCTTAGTGGCAGCAAATGAGCCAACCAGCAGTGTACCCTTTAGCACAGTGACAGAACCATTCCAAACACAGTCAAAATCAAGTTGATGGCCATTGGGCCTCTGTATAGCCTTCTTTGGTTGGAGCCATTCCAAAAGGCCTGGAATGGCGTGGGTAGATTTTGTCCTGCCTCTTCAGTGCATATACACCCTGCCCTCCTATTGCTTCCTTTTCTGGATTTATTGATCTCAGGCATCTCCCAGGCCCTTCCAGAACAATTTTGGAAGTGGAGAGCAGGAAAGAAGAAAGAGAAAGAGAAGAAACAGGAAGTAAGGAGAAGTTGAGCATGGTGCCAACCAAAGACTGGGCCAGAGTAATTGGCCTGTATGTTGTTGTGTCATCTGTTCTGTTGGTTCAACCCAAAGATAGGATAAAATGGTTCTGCCACTGTCTGTGGACAGCTGTCTTTATGCACAAAGCGATTATTTAGGAAGAATCTGGAAGGTGCATCTCAGATTTTGTTATATGGGCAGATAATCAGTAAGAGGGTGGCCTCTCTTAGTGGAATAGAATAGTAAAGATGCTACTAGGATATCGAATAAAGCAGTTAAGTTGGAAGGAATAAAAACATAGTGTTCTTCTCTGCTTAAAATGGAGAAGGATCCCTGAGGCACGAATCTCACAGCCTGCCTCTCTCACATTACTAGGAATTGTACTCATTTGTCCTCTTGTTTCATTGATTATAAAACATCTTCAGGCTTAGGGTTACATTTCTTCCTACAACTCGCAAGGCACAATCTCCAGAAGATGCCATACCTAGGGGAAAGAGGAAGATTTGTGTTGTCTTTGCCTCTTTTCTACATACATATTTTGAGTGTACTCTATTTGCCACTGATACAGAGAACCACCATGCTAGTGGACCCTCCTCAACACATCTTCACTGATGGCATTGCTGGCCTCTTGGAAGTAGAAATAGAATGATTCTTGGAATAAAGCCAGCCTTCCACTGCTTGATCTCCCTAGGCTGGAGTTTGGTTTGTTCCATTTCTGCAGATCAAGTTTGCTGCCTTCCCTAAATTTCTCTCATTCCTCTTTTTATTTTTTTTCCTCCAGCATTTTGACTCCTTGTGTCTGTGTGTCAATATGTGAATTTTATATGCTCATTTGTGTGAGTTTATGTAGATGTGGTCATGCCCATAACTTTATGCTTTTCTTTAGTAGCTTTAGTAGCAAGATACTATAACAATAATTAAGAAGAGAAATGGTAAAAAGCAGTAAGTATAGCTTGGTGACTAAAAGCTTAGTGTCTCTGGTCCAGCTGCCAGCCATGCTCAGATTCTAGATATGTGACCCTTGGGCAATTTACTTAATCCCTCTGTCCCTCAGTCGCTCATCTGTAAAGTGAGTACAACTAAAGTATTTATTCCCTTCTCAAGGTGGCTGTAAGGATGGAAAGAAGTAAATGAAAAGTGCTAAGCATATTACCTGATGAATAGTTAACACATAATAAACATTATCTGTTTCTAAAGAAATTTCTCAAGAATAGTTTAGTTTGTTTTTGAAATGTTTCTTGCTCTGAATCAGTTTTCCTTTTTATTGTAGGTTCCATTTTTTGGGCGGAGAATACACCATACTTGCCCGTGTCTGCCGGGCTTGGCCTGTTTACGGACTTCGTTTAGCAGATTTATTTGTTTACCCCGAAAGTAATCACTTTAGCATAGAAACTTTAAATGTGAACAGCCACATGATGTCTGTAAAGTCTTAACTTGTGATTGTGCCAAACAAATAATATGCCAGAAAGAAATAGTACTACTTCCTCAACCTTTCCAAGTTATAATTTTGTCTTTAATTTTTAAATGATTTTTTTTTTATTGCAAGTGAATTTTAATTTTGGATAGAAATATAAAATGCAAGGCCTGGTGGAACTAGTTCTCATTTCCTTGTTTGTATTTTGGTTTCATTTGGCTTTTTTATGGCAATGACTGACCCTTTTTCACAAAAGTGAGGAGAATAAGGATTTGATACTTTGTTTTAGAAGCTTTTTTTCTTAACCCTCCCACACACATCTCTCCATCCCTGCCCGGCCCCACAAACACACAAGTTGTGGTCTCATGCCTCTCACTCCTCAAAAAATGTTAAGGCCCTGACCTCATGCTTCTCCATTTTCCTTCCCTTCTCCATTTTAAAGTAGAAGAACCATATCACTGGCAGAACCACTGATGAGAATCAGGCTTTTTGCTTAATACTTACACAGTGAAAAGAATGCATAGTTGAACTGGATACTCTCATCTCGTCTTGTGGAGTGGAGTTGCACGTGCTTCTTGATTTTTTTCCTTAACCTGTCCATCCTGGTGATCTTCAGCTTTGCTGTCTGACTGATGTGATGAAGTAAAGAATGGAAAGCCAGATTAATTTCTTCTAGATTTCTAGACCTGGCTTTGCCTTTTTTGTTTTTATTTTTCTTAAGACTACTTCTCCAATACGGTACTACATTTATTTCTTTTTATAAACTTTGTTCTAGAAAATGTCACTTGAAGAGGAAGTATTGATTTTAATCTGGCATGACATTCATTTTAAAATCGGTAATAAATTTTAATTTGAACTTCATTTGTAACCGAAAGGTCTGTTGTAATAGATTGCCTGGCATCCTGCCCTTTGTACCTGTATCAATATTGCTGGGTAAAAATTCTGTATCAGAATAATGACAGTACTGTATATCATTTGATTTATTTTAATATTATATCCTTATTTTTGTCACAGTTCTCGTCAGTCTTTATTATAAGCAGATTTCTATACGAGCTACATTCTAAAATGAGTGAAGACATAAAAGTTGGTAAAGTAGTGGTAACAGTATGTGTGTTTGTATTTTAAATTCAGGAAAGTTTTGTTTGCATGTGTTTTAAAGTCATGCAAAAAATAACCCATATGTAAATCAGGACAATGCCGATATGCAGAACTGTCTTCAGAAATGGACTCCTGGGATTTCTTTGTTGATTCAGCAGATCATTAAGGAGTGCGTATCAGGGTGGTTAGGCAGGGTGGTAGGTGGTAGCCATTCAGTGATCCCCAAATCACCTTGCCTTGAAAGTCCCACCATGTATTGTAAATGGATTAAGTGTTGCAAATAAACAATTTATGAAATGTGTTTAACTGACTAAATTTGACCATGCCAGCCCACTAGAAGTTTGAAACAAAAGAAAAGAAAAAAAAATTATCCATTTCGTAGTTATTTACTCAATTAGAGCTCATAGTTCCACATTGTAGGTAATTGTACCTTGAACTCACAGGTACCATACATTTTTGGGATTTGGCGGTACTAATTACCATATGAAGGAGCTCTGGTGACACAGTGGTTAAGGCAGTTGGCTGCTAACCAAAAAGTCAACAGTTCAAACCAACCAGTCTCTCTGTGGGAGAAAGATGAGGCAGTCTGCTTCTGTTAAGATTTACAGCTTTGGAAACCCTGTGAGGCAGTTCTACTTTGTCCTATAAGGACATTCACTGTGAGTTGGAATCTACTTGATGGCAGTGGACTTGGTTTGGGTTTTCGTTTAATTACCATATGTGGCCATACAAGTATTATTTTGGGTTCAGTTTAATTTGTGTTTCAGAAATATCCCTCAGTGAGTTTCTAGGGGAAATGAGACTTCAACAAGTGGAATTATGGATGAAGAACCAGACCATTCACCAGTTTTTTTTTTATGTACTGTTTGATATATGCTTTTTCAAAAAAAAAATGGAAACCTTGTTGGATCTATTCATTTTCATCGAAGTCAAAAACATAACCAACTCTAAATTTTGCTTATATATATATATATATATATATATATATATATATATATACATACTACCCCTATTTTTAAAAAAATTATTCCATAAAGTGGTAAACTATATATACACAGCCAAGAGAATAAATTTCTCCAGTTTGTGTAGAAAATGTAGAACTGTTCCTCTTGACTCTCTGCCATTCAAAGAGCAGAACTTTGTAGTTTGTTTTCCACTTACTGTTGTTTTTATTGAACAGTAATTTATACATAGTGTAAAATTCCCTGTTTCTAATATATCTTTTCTTTTTTTTTAAACTTTTTACCTTTCAAATAATTGTTTCCAAAACCACTTGTCATCATACTTGGTGGAGATTCTTTAAAATTTTATATAAAGTACACAGAGTCTTGTGCTATAAAGGTGTGGTACTCTTTCTTCCGAGGGTGGTCTCTCATTGGCTCTGGGACTCCATAAGGCAAGAATTTTCTACAAGCTAAGGCAAGGTAAGAATTTACACAGAAATAATGAACTCAGCAGCTACTTTGATGGAAATATTGTGAAACAGAGGATTGTGATTCTGTCCATTCTATGGTAGAAATAGCTCTTAGAAGCTAATGAGCAAACTTAAGGAGATCTTTGAATTTTTTTTGCAAACATTGACTTTCATGAAAATGTCCGTTTCTGACTTTATTCTTAAAAAAAAAAAAAAATTTACCGTAGAAAAATTCATGCCAAAACTATTTCCTTACAAACCCTCATACCTAACTAAAGACCTCTCTATCCTTCTAAGCATTTCAAGTAGTTCTTTTGGTAGAGCCTTACAAAGTCAGTCTTTAATAGATTATATAAACAAATTTTCCTCTTTCAGTGGTTTTAGTATCAGAAATATCATCCTGCTCTTCTTTAACTTCATTTTTTAAAGATTAAAGTCGGAGATAATTTTAAAAACAGGATATTTTTGGTATTCAGTGAAGATCACTGTATAAAATAAATTGCCAGCCTTCTATGGCTGCAACATGTTGCCATATATTTCAGATAATAGCATCAGAATTAATATTTCTTTAATTCTCTAACATTTTCTCCTTAGTATATTAATTCTCAGTACTCCTTTTCCTATTTTTATTATGATTGGTGTGCATGGTGACCCCATGTATAATGGGACTGGACTGCTATGAGCCATAGGGTTCTCATTGGCTGATTTTCAGAACTAAGCCTTTCTTTCTAGTCTGTCTTAGTCTGGAAGCTCTGCAGAAACCTGTTCAGCATCACAGCAATACATCGGTCTACACTGACAAGTGATAGGTGTGCTTGAAGTGCATTGGCCTGGAATCAAACCCTGGTCTGCTCATGGAAGGCAAGACTTGTACCACTGAGGGGAGGATCCAAGATGGCAGACGAGGTGGTTAAACAAATCCAGAACACCTACAACAAAGACTTAAGAAACCAAATGAAATGGATATGGATGACAATCCTGGAATCCACAGCTTCAAGGGAAAGGATAAAGAAGTAGATAGAATACTGATTAGAGAAAGAGACAGAATGAAAACAGCCAAAAAGGAGACATATGGGGTGCTGAACTGCTAACCAGCCCCATGTGGCCATTTTGAATCATTGCAAGTAGTATTCCAACCAGGACAAGAACCAGAAATAGCTAACTCTGCTCTCTCAGGATACTGCCAGCACCCACAACAGTGATCGGTGACCAGAAAGATGTGATCTCCTCCCCTCTTACTCTTCACAGCTTTCCAGGATCAGAAACATGACCCCTGTGCTGGAACCCACCCAGCAGCCTGTCAGAACCCCATCCCCCACTGCCAGTCTGTGCCACTTTTTTTCTTTTCCATTTTCTCATCTTAGTTCTTCCCTCTCCTCTCCCTTTTTCCCCACTTCCCTCACTTTTTTTTTAAATGATCCCATGGAGTGGATACCTGTCCCTCAACAGCACCTTCCATGCGCCTCCATGGATGGTGGTATGTGCTTCCACAAGGTGAAATCCATGTTACCACTACAGCTGTTTTGGGCAGCTAATGCACCACTACTATGCCACTTTTTTTTTCTTTGGTTTTTCTTAATTCTTCCCCCCCCACACACACACACATACCACACTTGTTTTTTGCTTTTGGTCTTTTTTTTTTTTTTTTTCTCTTCCTCTTCCTTTATTTTTGTCCCATGGAATGGGTGTATGCACCCCCTGCCACATTCACCCACAATAGCACCTGCCTCTGCCCCTCAAAGTTGGGTGGTGTGCATGCCTGCAGAGCAGTCACTGCTTTCCCTCTGCAGCTATGTTTGACAAAGTGCTTGCATCAATATTATGCCTCTCCCCCCCCACCATTTTTTTCATCTTCTTCATAGATCTTTCTTCTTTACCCCCTGCTTTTTGTTTCTTTTCACCCTCTCCATTTTTTTTTTAATTTTTTCGCCCAGGAATCAGGACCCAGAATATCACACTTGCCACCTCATACATTAGGTGAGTGGCACCACCCATTCCAACACCACTGGATTGATAACAGATGGGAGGCCAACACCTGCCCAGCCTGCCTTCAGCTCTCTATACAAAGATCAGAGACTCATGCCAACACTCCCACTCACTACCACATCCCAACTAGAGATAGATAGATGGTGAGCAGCCCATTGCTGCCAAACTAACAACCAGAGTAACTTGCCTGCCCCACTATCCAGATACAAAAAATCAGGATGGAGGGAAACTATACAATGAACAAATAAATACAGTAATACCACAATGTCTTGGAGACTACACACACACACCCACGACAAGATCATTCAAGTAAGTGACCAAAATATAGGGCCAGAAAATTTCTGGAGGAAGAAGTGCTATTATAACTACATCATAAGAAATCAAAAGAATTATATTTAGTTATGCGATAATTGTTCGATAATTTCCACATTCTCTGGGATCATCTTTCTTTGGAATGGATATA